TACGTAAGTCGCCAAGGTCGCGGCCGGCGAGGTGGAGCCCGGCCCAGCGGGGGGTCCTCACGAAGCGGCGGCCGCCGCCTGCTGCTCGTGGCGGGACCGCAGGAGCTGGGGATTCGAGACACAAAACCGGGGTGACCGTGCCTGCGGCCCAGGAGCCCTGGTGCCGCGGCGTGTTATGCGCTGGGCTGACAACCGCGTGGTGAGCAGTTCGGACCCACCTGCCGCTCGGGGGAAGGGAGACGAGGTTCCCTCCCCCTGCGAGGAGGTCCAGTGTCGCACACGCCCGGGAGCACTTCTGCCCGCCGTGTGGGGTCATGAGTCACAGCAGTGGTGGGGGAAGGGGCACAGGTCTGGAGCCCAGCGCTGAGCTTACCTGGAGGGAGATGGTCTTAGTGGGCTTTTAGGACTGCTTTCTGGGCTCCTAAAAGCTTGAATCTGTGTGGTTCAGTCTCTGCTCCAGGTGTTAGTCTTGAGCGCTCGGGCGGGTATGTAAGAGGCCCAGCCTTAGAGCTTGGGGGGTGGGTGGGGAAGGGGCGGTTGGAGGCTGGCCCCTGCTTCACTCACTTAGCTCCTCTTGAAGCTACATGTCATCTTAAAGAAATAGGTCTTCCCCTTCTTAGGCCCAATGGTGGAGGTGCTTCGCAGAGAAGTTTCCAGCATCAGCTTGTCAGCCATCCTACTGCACTTGGAGGCCAGTGGGTGGGTGACCATGCTGGTGCTGTGGCCGAAGCACAGGGTCGCTGACCTTTCAGCAGGAGGAACCTGCCAGCTCCCAGGGAGAGCAAGCGGTGCCCTGCTTCTGTGGAAAACCATTGGAGCAGGGCCTCCGGACCCCCCCTCACTGTGAATCAGCTCAGCTGTGTGCCCCTGGGATGCCCTTACGTTCCCCTTCTTTACCCCGAGAAGCCCCCCTAGCAGACTTCCCCAAGCCTGCTGTGGCTGAGCCTCTGGTGTGAGGCCCAGAGGCAGGCAGTGCCCAGGGAACTGACAGGCTTTATTATCTGAGTGATTTGTTGTTTCTGTTTCTTCTGTGTCCGTTTGAAACAAGCTTCTGTTGCCTTGGGATTGTGCCCACCCCATTATTGGCAGACCCTTTGGGGTGAGATGGTGATTGCTGCCGGGCAAGAACTGGCAGGCAGGGGTATCGGGCTGCCTGACCTGGTTGCCCTAGTCCAGAAGTTCTTACTGTCACACTTAGTGAATTGAAATTTCACTCTTGTGAAAATGATGTGAAAGTGGGGTTTCATACCTTGGAGATGTTATTTTTTGTCTTAAACTACCACAGATGGATCTGGTAGCTAAACTGACAATTTTGGAGATCTGCAGCCGTTTTGAGTATACGTTTGAGTCAGATGTTTGGTAGTTGAATTGCTGTACCTTTGAGACGATGCTCTGCATTCTGTGGTGTGTGCTGGAACTTCCCCGGGATTAGTCACCTGTTATGTCACCAGTTCTGTCTTGTCCCATGGTCATGGTTTGGTGAGTTGGAGTTGCTCTATCAGCATCCAGGTCGACTATAACTCAGGAAGGTGCCCGCTTTTCCAGCCAGTGCATTTCAAGCAGCGGTATGAAGAAGCTGACGGAGTGCTTTGCAGAAGAATTTTTGCCCCAAACTCCACCTTGAAGAACAAATGTGGGTAAGAGAGTTCAGAGGAGCTAGCTAGGGAGGGTTCGGGCTACTGGAATGTGCCTCTGGGGTGGCTTCAGGACAGCATCTCCCTTGGAGGCTGACCTTGACCCCATGTTAGACTGATTGCCCACCCGTATTCCCTAGGGATGGGACCCAGGCTGCTCCTCTGTTTAGGGGTGGGGTTTGAGGGATGGCACAAGGTTATTGACTGAATGGCATACTGACCTCGAATCTCACACCCCTGGATGGGGGCTGGCATTGAGCATGCTCCTGGTCAGTGTGGTGACCCTGGAACAGTAATGGGATGAGCCAGCTGTGGGTGCAGCCTTGGGTCCTACTGGCAACCAGAGAAGTGTGGCGGTCACTAGTGACTCAGCCTCCTCCTTTGGCAAGCTGGTGAGTTCGCACCTGGACGGGGAGACTTGGAACCACTGTGCTCAGATGAGCATGAAAGGAGAGTGTCAAGCCAGGGGGCCGCTAAGCAAGCAAGGAAAGACGCGTGTACTCTTGAGTGGGGAAAACTCAGCCATTCTCACCCAGGCCTGCCCTGTGGGAGCGCCCCCAGGTGGACGTGCAGGTGTTTCACCACTGTTCATCCTTCAGCTGTCTGTCCAGTAGGCAGCAGGCCTGGGTGTCTGTCCCCTGGCTCTCCCCCCAGCACCTTGTAGGTGCCCCTCATGGCACAGGGTTAACAATGGGACAGTTCCTTCTGAGCAGCTCTCAGCTTTTGAAAAACAGATGTCAGACACTTGGACATCACGGCTGAAGCCGTGGGACTTCTGCCGTGGCAGGGCTGGGCTGCTGGAGGGAGGGGGTGGTGATGCTGGGTGTCACCTGGCTGCATACAGTTCTCACTTCATGGCAGCTGATCGCTTTCATCCTGGTGTTTGTAGTTGTGTCTGCACTATTTGATGGTCTTAATCAGCTTCTTAACCCGTCTGTTGCTTTGAACTAGACATTGAGCCTTTCCTAAAGAAATAACACCGAACCAAGCTAAAGCTTTTTCACCTTAACTCAAACTTGGATCTGCGAAAACCAAAAAACCTGTTGCCACTGAGTGCCTCCCACTCAAAGTGACCGCACAGGACCAAGTAGAGCATCACTGAACAGAAGATAAGATGTCAGCAGACTGAAAGGTGGAAACTGGTTGTTCAAATCTGTGAAATGCGTTACTGGTGAATGCAAAACTCCCGGGAACATTGCAGAGTGGCGTATTGGATTTCTTCTGGATATAGAAAATTGTACAACCAGTTTTATCATTGATTTGTTGGTTTGTTTAATGCCTTAGTGGGTTGACATGGCCTTTGAACTATTTCTTATCCAATAGCGACACCCTTTTGTAGAGTTCCTGTTTATGCTTGTGTCGTGGGGAAGCACCCTCCTAGAGAGTCGTGGTGGTGACCTTGGCAGGAGCTGCCTTCTTCAGAGCTTGGCCACTAGTGTATTCCACACCACAGCGGTGGCGCCGGGATGCGTGTTTAAGGAGCTGGGCTCGCCTTAGTTGGGTCAGGTCACGTTTCTGAGGCAGTGGCATGGGGGGCACATCCAAGGGAGAATGCAAATCCAACTCCATGCCAGCCCAAGGCCACAGGCAGGCCTCTACCCACTGCCCCTCCCACGGCCCTCTGCTGCTCTTCCAGTTTGGGTGATGCCTTACAGTGTGCACACAGACCGCACACATTAGCACCAGTCAGGACCGTGAACAGTAAGGCTGCAGTCATTGGTCTCAGCCAGCAGCCATGTCTCTCTGCTCCTCAGCCTCACGGGCACATACATGACCTCTTGGCTTCTGACTCCATGACCCAGGAAGCCCACCTGCCCCTCTACCTCACGGTCTCAGGTGCAGCCCCTCTGCTCTGTGCCATGGCCTCTGCCACGTGAGGCAGGGACCTTGGATGAGTTCCATTGGGACCCTGAGAGCAGCGTGGCTCTGAGGTGGGATGGATTGTGCCCTTCAGCAGACCATCTCCCCACATCCTCCCGAGGGAGCAAATGGGGCAAACTTGATTCACACCCTGTAGTGACGTGGAGGCTCAGAATGCATCCCACTTACTGTTGGGTGTTAGCTTGGCAGAGAACGCCTTCCTGTGGTGAGGAGGAGGGACTCTTAGGTCCTAAGTGGGGTGACCATGGTTCAGATCGACTGGTTTTGGTGGTGGGGTTTATTTTTTGTCTTGGGAACTTCTCTGCCCTGTGATGTTGCTTGATGGCAGGGTCCTGAGGTGCCTGGTGACAGCCAGACGTGGAGGACAGTGCTCTGTGACCTGTGACATGCTTGTTCAATGTCAGGTACAACTGCTCATCACCTCTCGGGTGTCTGAGATGT